CCCAAGGCTTGCATCTTAAGGACTTTTTTTATTGTTGCTTTAATTGGTTTTTTTTTAAATCTGACCATTGATTTAATATGATATAACTACAGAAGATCCTTACTCTTATTACAGATACCGATACATTGGGCATTTAACCCCAAATCAATGATAGAAGAAAAATTAGCCCTAATTCTTAATCTCCAAAAAACACTAAATGTTTGGGTGCCGTTTGGTAACACTTACGTTTTCAGTTTTCTGTTTATATTTACGAAAATTTAAAAACTCAAATAAAAACTTGTTTGGTAAAATTTTTGATTTATAAATCAGTGATCCCAGTTTATAAATTTGGCCAAAAAATGAAAACACAAAAAATATGTTTCCATTTTGAGTTTTCAGTTTTTTTTTTTACCACCCAACACTAGCTACCACCCGCCATCATTTTCCACCACCGTCTTCCGCCACCACCACCCACCTGCCACCACCACCTGCCACCACCACTCACCACCCATCATCCGCCACCACCACCAACCAGCCACCACCCGCCACCAGCTACCTGCCACCCACTCGCCACCACCATCTATCACTCGCCACCACCACCACTACCACCCACCACCCACCTGCTATCCACCCGCCACCACCCACCACCCGCCACCTACTTGCCACCACCACTCACCACCCACCTGCCACCACCAGCTACCCACCACCCACCGTCACCACTTTCTACCACCGTTTTCCGCGTCACTTGCCACCACTTGTCATTTCTCACTCTTTTATATATTTTTAAATTTTTTTTAACATGTTGTCAAGTCAATTACCAAACGCGTTTGTAGTTTATGTTTTTTTAAAAATAAACAAAAAAGAAACAAAAATCAGTTTATAAAATTTTTGTAAATATAAACTGAAAACGTAAACGTTACCAAACAGATCCTAAAGTGTTACCAAACGCCACCGATGTGTTTTACTAATTTAACTATATAGTCCAACTACTGGAAAGTGAGGTCCATTATTAATGGGTGAAATCGTGTTTTAGTTTTGTATCAATATTTATTCTTAAAGTAGAAGGGGCAATGTCACGCCCCCAAACCGCCCCTAGTAGTTTGGTGCCGTGATGGCCAGTAATCCGTAATTACCGAAGGCCAACTTACAAAATTCACACACAATCAGAGTATTTATATAGGGGGCTCACAAATGCGGAAGCAATAATTCAAGATACAAGTGGTCCATAAGAGCAGTGCATAAGTCAAGCCACCACTTGCCATTTCTCACTCTTTTTTATATTTTTAAAATTTTTTAAACATTTTGTCAATTACCAAACGCGTTTGTAGTTTATGTTTTTCTAAAAATAAACAAAAATCAATTTATAAAATTTTTGTAAATATAAACTGAAAACATAAACGTTACCAAACATTAACATTTCATTTTATTTATGTTGAACTCTAAATTATTTACTTATGTTAAAAAAAAAAAATTTCCGTACAAGGTGCGCCTCGCCTTGCGCCTTAAGCCTAGGCTCTAGGAGACCTTGGTGCCTTGGTGAGCCTATTGCCTTTAATAACACTGTACCCATCTGACTTCATCTTATTTTTTTGCTTTTCCTATTTTCTTTCTCACTTATAGTATACATATAATTTATAAGTTGACATTAATTTAATTAAACCACAAATTAACACTAAATTCTTAATTATTTATTCTTATAGTTGTCAAATCGGAAATAAAAAATGGTCTTGTACTGAATCGCGAATTGAATTGAATCATAAATCGTAAAGATTCAGTCATTTTCTCTAAATTACTTATTTTTTATCAACAATTCCTAATAAAGAAAAAAAAAAAAAAAAAAAACTAACTCTCAATTTCTAAGTGACAATAACTTAACAACAATGTTGAAATTTGGACAGTAAACATACATACCAATCCAAGTAATAATGACCCAATAATAAGAACGAATTAATTCGAATTCTTTATTTTAGAACTTGAAACATTTTAAAAGATATATATGTTTATTGTTCAAAAAAGTTTTTTTTAAAGAACCCGTATAATCCTTAGTTTTAACTGATCTCGCCAATGTAATATTGAATTATATTTATTTCAATAAAATAGCAATAGATAATTCATGATACAAATTACTTTAACCTTAAATATCTTTAAAAGATATATTATGATTTAAAACAATTGAGAAGAAAAGGTTAAAAACATAGTAGATCTGATTTATCAAAAAAAAATATATTGGGTCTGACTGAATTTGATTGGATACTATTAAAAACTCATTGATCACCAAAATAAAAACAAACCATGTATATATTGGTTATTTTCGTATTGAACACTATTAGAAATTGCATTATGTTATTTTCACTAAAAAGAGGAAGAAAAAAATAATCGAGATATGTCAAACACCACATTTTCAAGAATTACATGAATTGTAAAAAGTGAATCAAATCGTGAATCGATACTGAATCATGCAACTCACCATAGATTCACTTCAAAATTCGTATCGATTTTGCAAAAATTGTGAATCAAATCACGAATCGTAAGGTTCAAAAAATATTCTAAATAACACTACTACATTATGTACATAGATATATACACACCATACATATACATCTCAGAAGCTAAATCTATATGCATAGATAATAGATATATATATATACACACACAATATACATAGAACATCTGGTTATTGTTTTTCATTTGTTTTGATTTTGACAGAGTAAATGTATTGGATTTGAAAGTTTGGGATGGAATAAGATAATAGTTGATTCTAATTTGATGTGCTTTGAATTCTATTTTTGCAAGGATGGCCATTGTGGTCGAGAATTGAAACGGAAGCACCAGCAATAGTCAAGGAGGGAAAAGTGCTTGGCGATGGTCGTGCAGAATTGAAAGGGGCAGTGGAAGAGGTGGCAGTAATCGTCGGGAGAGGGAGGCAGCACTGGTCAGGGAAGAAACAGGGACTGTACTGTGGCTTGGAGATGGAGATATGGGGGTGGCTGGAAGTGTTGGAGGAGGAAGGGTTTCAGGTTATGGTTATGGGTATGCATAGGATTATGGTTTTTAGGGATTGGGAGTAGTTGATGAAGATGAGAGGAAAAATAGTCTTTTTATTTTAATTTTTTTTCTAAAAACAAGCTCACTCTAAAAAATAAGCATTTGTAGCTCACTCTCTGTTAGTTTGAATGGAAAAAGTGACATTTGCACTTTAGTCTAAAACCACGTGGAGGTTCTCTGCCTATATTTGAATCATAAGAGGGAAAAGTGCTCAAGCCTTTAAAGTACAAGGAGCTAAACTAAATTTTGACCTATATTATATTTTTATATATGTACATAAAACATACAAAACTAAATAATTACTGTATACTGAGTAAATCTTGTATGCAATTCTCTTACATTAATTTTTTAGACTACTGGACTATAATAGTTAAAAATCAAACAAACTATAGCAAACATATATAATTGCAACATTTCCCTTATGTGAAATTTCTATAGGATTATTCTTAATAATTATACATTTTTTAAGGGTATATGATATTTATGTCAAATTCTCAAACTTTAAAAATCATGTGTTAGCAAATGTCCAAGAAGCGTTGGTCTCATGTTTACTCGTCAGTGATAGACATGGCCAAAAAGTAACGGACACATCACAACATGAGTGCCGGAAGAGTGTCCAAAATTAAGTTTTTTATTTTTAATTATGGGCATAGAAAAGAGTATCGGACACGTGTCCAAAGAGTATACGTCTGACACGTGTCCAACATAGACATGTCACCTTTTTAGAAGTGTTTGTGCTTCTTTGATGGGGAACATGTCACAGACAAATGTGTCCTATATTTGGATACACCTCAGGTCACTTTTGTGGTTTTTTTATTTGTACTTTTTGGAAACTAATGTGAGATTAAATAAAGGAAAATATATGGAAACATATAGGAGAAAGTGAAAGAAAAAAAATGCACCGCACATATATTGATGTTGGGGAGCACTGATGGAGCGAAACCTTGTCAAAATCCTACCTTTAACTTTTTTATACTCTTTAGACAGGGCAAAGCTTTAATTGAAGACCTTTTAGTATCGTTTCGTTTGGCCTCTTATATCTTTGTGTCGCAAATTATATTTATATACATGGCAAATAAAAATATTTAATTTTTTTTTTCATATCCCTGCCATGTCCATATCCTAATTTTTTTAAAATCATAGTGTCTCATGCTTGTGTCCATGCTTGTGCCTATGTCCGTGCCCACGTCCTTAGTTATTAACTTCTACCATTCTACCTTAGCCATCAAATGTCTCATTATACAGAGTTCATATTTTTTCCTCTACGACCTTCCAAATACTGTGCTTTATCTATCTATCGATACTATACTATTATAAAGTGAACAGCTTTGGTGGTGTCTTCTTGAAGCCTTATCTCCTTATGCTGCCAAGTGTTCATTTTCCAATTTAAAACAAAATAATTAGCTAGATGGGAGGAGTAAGACTCGAACCTTGAAATTTGAGTCTAATGAAATAGACTCTTACCACTTGAATGGCACACAATATATAGTAAATATTTTGTTCTACATTTACTTATTTGAATTGCACACGCATTGCGTGTGTCAATTGCTAGTGATTCTAAAAGTGAACAGTTAAAGAAAACTTATGATGCACAGCTATGCAAACCGTTAGACCTAAAGATTTATAACAATCATCTTTCTAAACACAAAGTCACTGCAACAAGGGAAGGAGGAAAGTGGCTATGATCAATTTCTACTTGGCCGGTTTGAGTTCGGCCATGACAGACTCAGGAATTAAATTCAAAAGAACAGTGACTCATACAAATACGATACAAGTGAGGAATTATGGTTCCAGAATGGCTAAGAATTTTGAACTGCAAAGATCTATATACCTTTTCATTCACAGTTCAGAGTTCATGCAACACCAAAATGGGATTTGATCTGGGACGCAGTGAAACAATGATAGCAAACTAAACTGATGCTTGCATGAATGTAAACAAGATTTCAGTCAAACACTCACAAAAACTAGAGAGATACCTTGCAATATATGAATACCCAATCAAAATAACTGTGACCACATGATGAGACATCATCACAGCAAAATCTTTCCTCCGAGTTTCCCATGTAAGAAGGGCAACAATGCTGTAGACATAGAACCCACACTGGCACATATAGAAAAGCTTTAACGGAAGCCTGAAATGATAAATCAAACAGGTCATTTCAGATAATTAAGAAAATTACCAACACTATCAGTTTAATACTGAAAAAAACCTATAAAACTATAAAACAAAAAAAGAAGAAGCAGCATTCCAGAGTTACTAGTTTTAACTTGTTGGTGATAGCAAGTAAAACTTAGTTTAATAATAAAAATAAAAATTATTTTGTATGCAACAACTGCAAACTTAATCAATCTGTTCTGGGAAATTGAAAATAATCTCAGCAGACAATGTAATTTCAGTGTCACTTCATAAGCAACTGCAGATAAAATGTCTCTTCTACCGGAAGCAATAATTCACTAATATTTTGTTCATCAGAAGGGACAAGAATTATTTTTTACTGTAGAAGATGAAACCCCTAATTAAAGGGTCACCTATAAGGAAATCAAAAAGGGTGAAAAAATCCAAGCATATATGGCAAGAAATAACACTGACAAAATTAAGATAAAAACATTTTCTAGACCCTTCTTCAAATTCCCAACTTACAGAAAACAATTAGAAGCTCACAAAGAAAAAGGTTGGCCAAATTTTATTTTTTTTTCCCCTAAACTTAAGCAAAATTATCTGCAATCACCATAATATTAAGGTAAGTTGTCCACAGAAAGATGATAACTTCCGGGTGATCAAAGATCACTGACTTCACCATACAAAATATCTATGGCTTTGTCCAAACTGAAACAAGTTCCAATAATAGAAGTTCCCTTTCAACTCCCATGTTGACAACCAGGTAGGTTAGCATCATCCATTTCTTGCAACGAGGCATATGCTAAGATGCTAAATAAGATAGTCCATTAGTTGGTTCCTCCTTTTGTTTTAAACATGCAAAGGTCTTTTATCGCTTAAAGGAGCATTCTTTAGTTCCTGCTGTGGTTGATCAAAATAGTGATGTTTCTAGTACAATAAAGCTTGATGTGTTAAAGATTAGCAAGTTGCAGATTTATAGTGCTTTCTATTAAACATTCAACAAATGAGGTTTATCTATAAAATAGGCCAACAAAATGGATAAGCAAATTTATTACTCACTTCAACTCTTGATTTGGCCAGCCTCTAAAGTATCCTTTTGTATCTTTAAACCATGATTCGTGGTATGTAATTGTTAGAACACATGCTTCAACAGTGGCATAGTATGTCAACTTCCACATAGACTCTGAGCATTTTACCATCTTTGCCCGTGTAGCTTCATTAATCTTTAATGGGATGGCACCGTTGCACAACAACCAAATGGCCAGCCTCTGAAAAGGATGCAAGAATAATTAGAAACTAAAAAATAAAAAAATACGAAGAAAATAAGTGTCGAATTATCAGAAACATTGCCTTTTGTTTAGAAATATAAAAGTCCATCGTTGTCTTCCTAAAGTGAGTTTTAGTTATTATATGTACCAACATTTTATGAGAGTATTCCATTCAATTTTTCTTTATTCAGTCAGTTCCTTGAACAAAACCACTTGATGTCTATATTTCAGTCAGCACAAAAGATGAAAATGCCCAGAGAGGAATCCACAAGTCAAGAGACAATATCCTCTCTCATACTTTCTTCCCATGAATCAGCTTTCACAGCTGAAAAGTTAATGAGTTAATGTAAGTTTTCCTTCTCCATGGAGGTCTCAAACCATTTGAATAACTCCAAGCCTCTTGTAGCCATACCATCAGTTGAAGTGCAAAAGTATGGAAAACGTAGAGTAGGGTTAGAGAGAAGGAGAGAAGAAATAAGGAGAAGAAGAAGAATATTATTAAATGTATGTTTTAGGCTCATTAACATAAACCTAAACCATTACTCAACATAAAAATAACATAAACATATTCTAACATCATCTATCCCATGCCAAGGGGCACCAAGTAAAAATAAAAAAAAGAATTTTCTACATTGGCTCAAACAAAGGCAAATACTAGTACGGGGTACACCGATACGGCAAGCCTAAAAAATAAGATACGGATACAGCTGGGATACGTCAATAAATTTTTTATTTTTTATAATTTATAGTTTGAGATTCAACCTACAAATCAAAATTCAATAACAAAACTAAAAGAAGAAATTACAAAACCAAAAGAGAAATCACAGTTCAACAACACAAATACCAAAGCAAGTCCATAAGCTACTTTAATGCCATTAAATACGAGAAACTACTAAACAAAATTTCACTCCAAAACTATGAAGCACAGATACTCCAAAATAGGTCGCATACGAGTATCGGATACGGATACGCATCCGATACGCTTGGATACAGCTAGAAAGTAACCCATTTTTTTTATTTTTTATTTTTAGTGAGTTTCAGATACGGCTCGAATACGCATGGATATGTGAGATACATTCTAGATACTTTTGGGATATGGCGGGGCAGACCAAAGATGGCATACCTGGATTTGAAGCAAGCAAAGTCGAACAAAGAACCCAGAAATCACGAAGAGTAATGTCGACTTGCAGATCTAGGATAAACTTCAAACGAGACTTGCGAACCCTACGAGCAACTTCAAACAAGGTTTGCGAAAACTCAGTACCAAGCCTTCCAAGAAATTGCGAGCGAAGGTCCAAAACCGGGCTTCAAACACCCAAGTTCTAGCCAATTCTTGAGTTCAATCTTCAAATTCCCAAGCTTGAGCCAAAAATTGCACAAGTCTCTCCCCCTCTCTCTCTCTCTCTCTCTCTCTCTCTAATATAAATTATTTATATTATAAAATAATTATATACATAAATTATTATTTTATTTATTTATTATATATATAATAAATTATCTATTTTTAAATATATATATATATATATAATAAAATCATATATAATATAAAATTAATAGGAATCCCTCTATTCATTAATTTGCTTTAGGTTTTATTTTCATGCATATTACATTATTAAAATTATTTAAAAAAATATTTTTTTTTACGAACATATCCCCGCCGTACTCGTATCCTACTTTTTCAGATTTTGACGTATCACTTTATCCGTATCGCTGAATCTACATCCGTGCTTCCTAGCTCCAAAAGCAAGCTAAACAAAATTTGAAAACTTGAAACTTCAATTTTCACTTCCATCAACTTCATCATTGCTTAATACACCTTTCATTTCTGGCACATTAAGTAAAGGATTTACAATTTCAAGTAAATCAAAACTCTCTAATAAATTAAACGTATCTCTACCAATATCTCATGACTTGGTGTACCTCTAGTGCACCCATCTCGTACCCACAGAGTACCCAACTGCCAAAGAATGTATAGAACATATCCGATACGCATACAGCCTTATCAGTACGCGTAGCAGTACCTATCCCCAGTAAGTGCCTGATACGAGTATGGAAACAATTTCAAAGTACCCGTCCTTCATAGAAGTTAACCCATTGAAGACTAAACAAAAGCCACAGAAAAGGCAGCAACAACCCTTTTCTCAAGCCCCTCTTATACCTCCAACCATCTTCACCCTACCATCATAAATTGATGGTGCTAACGAAATACTTTAACTCCCCACCACATCTAGTTGTAATTCCCTTGCTTCTTGCAGCCATACCATCCATCTTTGGCCTTATTTTTGTTTCGATTGCCACTATAAGCTTCAAAGCATCCTTGTCAAATCCCTCGAGAAGGAGCCAAAAATAAATTGTTAAATCCTTTAAAATTCTTCATTAGAAGAAATAATAATTTCCTCCTAAAGCACGGCCACGTGTTGCTCCAAAAAACCCCCCACAACCAATCGCAAATGCCCACCCTTGCTGGCAAGACCTACTACTATGTTAGTATTAGGTCCCACCAAACAGGGTGGTTATCTCTGCTTAGAGGCCCTTGGAGTACCACATGATCTTGCCTTAGGAGCACCCAATAGTCACTGCGTTACCTATCACACCTAATTCCCTTCACCCATGTCAAGAAACCCCATTCTTCACCCCTATCTTCTCCCACCTAAACAAGAATCCCCATTTCCTCATCCCTATCTTCTCCTTCCTGATGCTCCTTCCTAGAATAAATTACCATGATGTCTTCACATGGCCCTAGCACTCCCAAAGGCTTATTGAGAACTAGAAGATTGAAGGAAAAAAAATGAAGGAAGATTGAAGAAAATGTTTCCTATTGAATTCAATAGATTAAATGAAGTAGACAAGTGCTGTCAAAATGCTGTGCAATTATATGATAAGGGAACACTTCACAAGCTGATGTTAGGGCTAATCATACTTTATACTTTTAATACTCAAAAAGCATGTTTAATGCAATGAGTATAGCTGCAATGAGAATTTTAAGATGGATGAGTAATAGTAAAAGAATATACATACGTTTGGGAGCTTCTATTTGCACCACAAAAAGTAAGTTAGGCACCCGATTACTTTGAGCACCCCAACAATAAATTTGAAATTTTATTTATTTGTTTGGACACTCCAAATAATACCTATACTAACCATAAAAACCCTATACAAATCTACTTTGTACACCCCATTACAAATCAAACTGCATTTGGGATCTCTAGAATTCCAAGCAACGAAGAGAGATTCTAAGTTCATTCGAGACGAAGAGGGATTCCAAGACGAAGGTCTTAACTTAGTGAATCAAAATATATTTGTCCAGATACTTAATTTTGAACCTATGAAATTTGTTCGAATACACAGTGCCAAACACAAGGAAATTGGTTCCAATTGTTTCATATGGATATTCAGTGCTAAATAAAATATATTTATCCGGATACTTAATTCCGAACCTAAGAAGTTTGTTCGGATGATACTCAATGCCAAACACAAGAAAATTGGTTCCAGTTGTTTCATATGGATACTCAGTGCCGAACAAAATATATTTGTTCGGATACGTAATTCCAAACCTATGAAGTTTGTTCAGATACTCAATGCCGAACAAAAGTTGTTTCATATGGATACTCAATGCCAAACAAAATATATTTGTCCGGATACTTAATTCCGAACCATAAAGTTTGTTCGGATACTCAGTTTCGAATCAATTCGGAAAACCAACCTACCAAAAACGATGAACAACAATTAAAAATTTACTTTCTCTACGGAAAATTGCTTGGAAACGTCTTCTTTATTGTCCAATTATTGGTTTCCATATGAAATAGAATGCAATAATGATGGAGCAAATACAGTTGGGTATGAAGATGCAAAGTGATGAAAGTAGAAAGAGAAGAAAGAAAAGGAATATTGGGACTGATGATGAATGGGGAGTCCAAAACACTTTTATGTACACTTTTTCCAAAGTCAAGTACATTTTGGTCATTTTAAATAGGGACTAAATAGTAATAAAAAAAATATCATTAAATTGGAGTGTCCAACCTACTTTTTGGGACACAAATATAAGTTCCCCATATGTTTTATCCATATATATATATATATATATTGATAAATTACATATATATATATCAAATGCATTTGTTAAAAGTTAGAGGTTACACAAATTTTAGACAAAGTTGAGAGCAAGTCATTTAAGATGATATGATCATATATAATGAAGATTAAGAATTCACCAGCATAAATGAGGAATCCAAGAGTCTAGATTCATTTGAAAGCACTATCAAAACAAAAGGATGGCAGGAAGAACACATTGATACTTAAAAAGGCAATGAGAGTGGGGCTCCTCATAGATTTTCATAGAGGAACATGATTTGAGTAGTTGGCAATTGCCATGGAATAGTAAAAACCAATGCTTAATTGGGTTGACTAAAGTTGGATCTAGTCATTGTTCTAAACTAAGATGAAGCAAGGAAGTGAAAAGAACAAAACCATATATCACAATGTTTCTTTTCTTACTTTTTCCTTAAATAACCATAGATTAAATAAATAATAACGCTGTGATTGGAGAATTTTAGCATTGAATAGAGTCCTACAAAATCCATTAAAAGAGCAATATCTCCACTTCCCTGTGATGATTTTCAATAAAAAGGTTTTCTAGATAGTTTAAATTTCAATTTGAAACTTAGGAGCTCACCATATAGAAATTTATGTAAATAATTTCTTTTAAATGCTAGAAAACAAAATTGATGCCCTCACAATGATTAACCATATTCACCAAGTTTTGCTACTCGCATAAAAAATTATTGTGGGGGGTGGTTAGAAAAGGAAACAAGAATGGACAGTAGCATGTTTCTGTTCATGCTCGACACATTTTTGGATTCTTCAATTTTGAATTATTTTCAAGAATGACTTTCAATAAATAATGAAAAAATGAACACAACATATGCAAAATATATAATTTTATATATTTATTATATTGTCAAATATAAGAATAACTAAGTATTATAATTTATGTCATATTTATAAATATTTAAGTCTAAAATAATAATTTTTAAAGTCTAAAGGAGGGGAATAGGTATAAATTTACATTGCTTTTATTTTTGTTTTATCATTGGATTCTAACTTTTTTATTCAAACTTGTATGTGTTCCATGTCTAAGTTTTGGGAAGTGTCTGTCATGTTGATGTCGGACACCACATGTTAATTTTTAGATTAAGGCAATCAGAGTTGTTTGCTTCCTCAAAATGACTATGCTTGGGTTACAATGCCAATCAAGGCAACGGATAGAATAGAATTTGTAAATGCAAATAAATTTCTGAGTAGTTTCATGGAGTAATTGTTCTTCTGAGAACTATTATGAGCCTTCAACAACCTCTTAGTTGACTAACTAATGTACAATTTGATAATTTGGCGCCTAAAAACTTCAATTGGCAAGCCTCAATCAATTCTCCTCAATTTAGTTAGACACCCATGGGCCCTATGTTACCTAGAACATGTATTGTTGTGATACGTGAAACGGGAACGGGAACGTAGTATGCCATGTGCTCTAAAATGTGATATGATAGGATAGATATGTATATATTATATTTAAAAATTAATGGTACTTCTAAAGTAATTTTCTTTTAACTATTGAGCAACCAATAAATTTTTATTTTTTAATTTTTTAGATGTTTTTGTCTTGTCAAAACTCGACTCACCTTAGATTTTAGTTCATTTTTTTTATTTTTTTTCCTCCTAAGGTAATATTTAAAGAAATATATTGAAAAAAACTTTTGGGATCGCTTTGGATAACTAAATTTATCATTTTGAAACGAAAGTGTACTATGATTTTGAACATGCGTACCTATGAAGTACGGATACTTCAAAATAGGCGCCATAGCGGTATCGAACATGGGAACACGTACGGTACATGCAATTTGGCATGTCCCTTTAATTTTATTATTTTCTTGCAAGGGACACGACAGGGACGTGTTGGGTACACAGTAGGGACACGCGTGTCCAAATCTGGACACATCAAGGGACACGGCCGGGGTATTTTTTAATTTTTGTAAATATCTTTTGGGGTCAAAGTATAAAATTCAGAAAGTAAAAAACAAATATTGTTGAATGCTAAATGTTTTTCCCTCATTATCTTCCTCTTATCGTTTATTATGTCTTTTTTATGGATGGCTGATCTATTAATTCGTTTAAATGTAGCGATTTATATATATTGAATTAAAGATAGTTTTTATTAAGTTTGATTGCTTGGTAATATAATATTAAGCTACATAGAAAATATATATAATAAATATAGAAAAAATTCCATGTTCCCACCGTGTCCGTGTTCTCATTTTTTTGAAATCACTGTGTCCCGTGTCCATGTCCGTGTTTGTATCCATACCCGTGCTTCATAGGTGCATATCAATACGTAATTTGTTAGAGTATTGGTGTTTTCTAGTAATACAGCATGGGCCATGGCATTGTAGATACAATGGATAGATTTCTCAACACAGCATAAAGTCCAATGGCCTTAAAAAAAATAAAAAAAGAAAAAAAAAAGAAAGCCATATCATCATCAAACCAAATCAATTTTGATTGAACAATTAACCCACAATTTGCTCTCTAAAGAATGGTATCAATACCATATGCCTTTTCTAACCAAATTTAGTGGACTCACACAACGCTGCCACATCAGATAAAACAGACTACCTTGTTCTATCATCGATATATCTTCCTTCTTGATATTTTCAGCCTTTATTTTTATTTTTTTTTGCATAAACAAAATTAATGGATTCACACAATGCTGCAACGTAAGATATCATATAATAACTCTCCTTGATATTTTCACTTTTGTTTGCATTTCTAGAGGCCCATTCGGTTCTTTTAACTGCACAAAGCCACAAAGTTGCTCTCCCTAAAAAAAATAAGTGTTTCTTTATTTACACTTTGAAAACATACTTAATTATTAAAGAAAAGAAACAAAGCTATACGAAAGCACTCTTATATCATTGAATATAAATGGAGTGGCATAATGTGACTACAACCATCAATTAACTCAGACCAGACCGAATTTAAGTGACATCGAAATGGCATAAATCTTATGTACTTGAGCTTATCTTATGCTTGTTTGCATTCTAGAGATTGATTCTCTCTTGTACCTTTCTTCGAATAGGTGTGAATATGTATATATTGTATGTGCTTGTATTTACAAAGTAAATTGGGCAACAATCAAACATTTTAAGCATCACATGACTCAAATTGAAGATGCAACAAAAACAACAAAATATCTAGATTAAAATGCTTGAAATTCGAAACGAAACCGAACATTATAAAAGAGAATGTAATACAAATATAGCAAGAATCTTACGCGAAAGATGAATCTATCAAGGAAGAACCTGGCGGCGACGAAGCCAAAAGCGAAGTATAACACCAACGAAAAATCCCAAGGGCTTGGGACGCTATTTTTAGTCCAGATCGAGTCCATTACAGGCTTCCAACGTCAAATTCAGAGACACGCTTCAATCAACGGATCCATCCACCGCTATGTTCGATCTTCGCTTCAAAAATCAGCAATACCACACCAAAAAATGCATGCTTTTCAACTATCTAATTTGCCCTAATCTCAACCAACGCCAGAGAGAGAGAGAGAGAGAGAGAGAGAGCTTTTGTGGAAGAATTATTGAGAGAGAGAGAGAGAGAGAGAACGAGACGAGGGACGGGAATGAGGAAAAGCTGCGATGTGGGATGTTGATTAGCGTGCACACACCATGGAGCGGCCCACATGATTTTGTTTGAGGTCCTTCCAAAAAATATTCCATAATTTGAACTAAAATGGTGGGGGCTTTTGTCATATTAAGTCAATTTATTATGTTAATTTTCAAATTAAGTTTAATTTGGACGAAATTCTTAAATTAGATTAAAGTGTTATTACAAATCATATTTTTACTGTTTGGAGTCAGAAATGTGATGAATAGTAAAAGCACTATTATAAATCATGTTTTTAATTAAGAAAGCATGGTTACAAATCACGCTTTTAACATAAATTTTTTTTCTCAAAAAACGTGATTAGAAAGCAGGTTTTTAAGCAAAAAAAAAAATTCTATAGAAAACGTGATTGCAAACCACGCTTTTACTGTGCAGAATTATTTCCTTAAGAAAACTTTTAATATGTATTAAAATGTGATTAAAGCTAGACTTGAGTTCTTTGTATCCCAAATGGTAGTACAATTGTTATGCTTGGCCGAGGCGTGGGTTCAATCCATCCTAACTCCTTTTTTTTTTTTCTTTTTTTTTTTACTCTATACTTTATATATTTATTATGTAATTTTTTTATCAAAAAAAAGTAAAACATTTGTTTGGTTAACTAAAAAAATTTTCTATAAAATACAATTTTTTTCAAAATGTCAACATAATTGTTTAAAAAGTATTCAGTGTATTTGGTTTGAGTTTTTTCGATTTAGTTATTTGAAAATTGAGTTTTTTGATTTTCGTATTTTTTTTTGTTTTTAGTAAATATTTTTAAAATTTTAAACATTTTTTTTACTTTTTTAGATACACCTTAGTTAGATGTATCTAAAAAGTAAAAAATTTGTGAAAAAATATTTAAAAAATTAATAAATACATAAAAATACAAAAAATGAACTGAAAAAATATTTTTGTATTTTTAGTATTTTTTCAGCAAAATGTACTCAAAAAAATATGCACAATGAAAGCGTACTCAAAAAATGTACTCAAAAAAAAAATTTTCAACAAAATGTACGCTTTTAAAATGTAGCCAAGTTATGTTGTATCATGTTTCTAACTGCTTTGTTTCCTCCAATTAATCCATTCTGTTGTTTATTTGATTAATCTGATTTTTAGTTCATCTTAATCACCCAAGAGATCGGTCTGTGTTTATCCACCTGGTTTAAGTCACCCACTTTCGTTCCCTGTCCAGAGTAAGTCCTTAGAGTTAGGCAGTGTAGGACACTGGGGTCTTCCGAATAGGGTCTGTACTCAAATCATTTTGGTCTGTGATAACATGACTAGAATAGGGTATGTATTAAGATATCTGTAAAACTGATTAATTAAACAAAACAATGAATCGATTATTTCGAAGTAACTCATCAGTCAGTTCTAGGTCAACTACTTTGCCCTCACTACCAAATCAAGGATTAGTAATAAATGAAGAAGATGTTGAAATACAAAATGATAAAATTGATGCTGGATGGAATATACCTAAATTGTCAATTAAAGAAATTTATAAAACTACTTTTATACAGAATGTTTTTAAAATTATTCTACATATTAAAACCATTGAACAAGTTTATGCTTTGGAAAAGCCCCGAGAAACCTGTCAATTATTTGATGCAAAATTAATTAAAAGACATTTAAATAATGGTTACAATTTTATGCATATTGGTTTAATTCAAGTTGGTGTTAATCCATTAACCATAGTCAGTAAAAATACCTCTGTTTTATTATGTTTACGCGATGCTCGATTTCTTGATTACAATGATAGGTTAATGGGTATGATGGAAACTGGTCTGCATAAAGGTCCAGTACATTTTAATTGTTTTCCTGATTTTACACTTAGTTTACGTGATCCACATATTTTAGATGCATTAACATTAAATATTCAATTACATGGTTCATTTACTAACATGAAAGATAAAGTTCATAATATTGCTTTAATATATCGTGTTCATTACAAATGTATGCAAACTAGTTGAAATACAAAATGATAAAATTGATGCTGGATGGAATATACCTAAATTGTCAATTAAAGAAATTTATAAAACTACTTTTATACAGAATGTTTTTAAAATTATTCTACATATTAAAACCATTGAACAAGTTTATGCTTTGGAAAAGCCCCGAGAAACCTGTCAATTATTTGATGCAAAATTAATTAAAAGACATTTAAATAATGGTTACAATTTTATGCATATTGGTTTAATTCAAGTTGGTCTGAACCCATTAACCATGGTAGGAAAAAATACCTCTGTTTTATTATGTTTAAGAGATGCTCGTTTTCTTGATTACAATGATAGTTTAATGGGTATGATGGAAACTGGTCTGCATAAAGGTCCAGTACATTTTAATTGTTTTCCTGATTTTACACTTAGTTTACGTGATCCACATATTTTAGATGCATTAACATTAAATATTCAATTACATGGTTCATTTACTAACATGAAAGATAAAGTTCATAATATTGCTTTAATATATCGTGTTCATTACAAATGTATGCAAACTAATTTAAATGTTCATGCTTTACATAAGAGTCCCAAAGATAAAACTCTATTAATCCAAAGTAGTAGTAGTGATGGAGAATCACACACTAATGTTCCTCAAATGATTGAATGGAAAAATGTAGATTTACCTGATCAATGGATTACTGTCAATGAAAATTACAAACATAATCAACAACAATCCACAATTCAAGATATCCAAGATATTCACCAATTCAATGATGGTTCTGTTCGAATTAAATTCAATCGAAGTCAATCCTCTCGACATAGTACATCTAGTGTTCCAACTGAAATTGAAACCGAAGATGAAATATTTAATACCCCTTTATTTAGAAAAAATAGTCAAATCCATTTTGGTCAACCTTCCACAAATAAACTCAAAGGCATTGATAATACTACTTCCTCTCAAATTAGTAAACCTGTTTATTCTACACATACACATCAATTTGCAGAAGAAATTGCTTCTAATAATTCTCCAACTCAAACTGATTTTGAAGAATTTATACCACCTGTTAATCCTCAATTAATGACAATCAAAAAAGAATTTAAACCTGATCTAGATAAATTACTTATTGAATTTAAATCTTCAAAAAATAAAACACTTAGACATGCTTACTATGCTAAATATAATTCTATGCAACTATCCCAAATCACTAGACAATGGTATAATTATATGGTCGAATATCGTTTTGAATTACCTCTATTAGAATATGTTGACAAATATTACAAAAAGATTAATACAATCACCAAACATAAATGAAAAACTTCTGACACCACTTCTGTTAATTCTAGTCATCCTCCTTTAGAGAAAATAATTCTTAATCAACAAGGGTCTGAAATCCCTACTTCTCCTTTCAAATTACATGGTAATGATAATGAGATTAAAAAGGTTATTGAACAAAATAATTATACTAATCAATGTTTAAACACAACTGGTAAACAATTAGACAAAATAGAAACCAATTTAGAATCTGTTCAAACTACATCCACTAAACCATCTTTAGATTCACCTTTACTTAATCTACCCAGTAATCGTTCCAAATGATCAATCCACAGTCAAAGCTATTGAAAAATTATTCACTAAATTATCTACCTCTGATAATGCTTCACCCTCTAAAGATAAAGGTCTTACTGTTTTAAATCAACAACCTAATAATGAAATTGTTTCTACCCAGTCAGACACTGAATCCTCTAATGATGATATAAATCAATTAGCCCAACAATTTCAATCTTCCAATCAGCTTGCAAAACTTCATTACCCTAAAGTTAATCCACAAACTACAAAAAATTGGTACTCTCGACCAACTCCTGTTGATCTCCAATTTGAAGAAACTAATCTTAATAATCAATTTTCTGTTTCTGCTAAAAAATTATACGAATGGAATATTGATGGTTTTAGTGAAGATCAAATCCTCCAAAAGTTAAATCATCTATCTATGGTCTCCAACAGTTATCTCTCAAATTATCCCCAATATACTCAACCTGAAATTGTTAATTTAATTACTTCTGGTTTCACTGGTATGCTCAAATCATGGTGTGAGAAATATTTAACTGAAGAACAACGAGAATCCGTTATTTATGCCAATTAAACTGACGATAATGGTCTGCCTATTTTTGATGAATCAATTGGATGTTGCCACCCTGATGGCATTAATGCCTTAATTTATACAATTGTTAGACATTTTATTGGTAACCCAACTAATATTTATTCTTACATACATGATCAGCTTAGTAATCTGACCTGTCCAACATTAAGTGATTTTCGATGGTACAAAGATGTATTTACCTCTAGAGTTATGTTAAGAGAAGACTGTACTAAACCATTTTGAAAAGAAAAATTTATTAATTGATTACCTAGTTTATTTCCTCACAAAATTAGAGATGTTCTTAGTCAACCTACTGGTGTTATTAAATATGATAATCTAACCTATGGTGATATCATTAGCACTATTCAAAAAGAAGGTTTAAAAATGTGTATTGATCTTAAACTTAGTCAAAAAGCCACTAAAGATAAACACAAAGCTAAATATGAATTAGGAAAATTCTATGAACAATATGGTTTACCTCCTATAGCACCCTCACGTAGGAAATCACATAAATATTCTAAGCACAAATATAAATTCAAATATTCTAATAAATACAAAAAGCATTATTCACCTTCCAAATCCAATGATAAATTTTATACTAAACCCAAGAAAAAGTATTACAAAAAATCGCATCCAAAATCTAAATCTAATAAAGATATTACATGTTATAATTGTGGTCAAAAAAGTCATTATTCTAATAAATGTAAAGAAAAACAAAAATTAAAAGATAAAACAAATCAATTACAAATAAATGATGACTCTAAAAACAAATATTTGAAATCTTTCAATTAAACCAATCTGTTAGTAGTTCCTCTTCTGATAATCTCGAAACTTCTTCTGATGATCATTCATCCAATACTGATTCTGATAATAATATAACGTTAGGATGTAATGATGTCTGCTGTAAACCAGTTAAACAAATTACAGTTCTTACAAAATCAAATCAAGAAGAATCTG